CCTTTGTACACACATTCTTATGAATAGAATTATTATTATTATTATTATAAGTGCCTTCCTTTTATCGAATACTGTCCATGCAGCTTCCTCATGGTTGTCCCTAATATCATTACCTTGAATTTGCTTGGATAAAAGTCCATTAAGTCTGTAATCATCTCATATTCTGATTAGTCTAATCAGTTTTCCATTATCGATATTACCGACATATGTCCTTGATATATTTCCGAAACATCATGGATTCTTGTATTGATTACATACTTATAGTGCTTCTCACATTATACCCAGGGATGCAGTGCTAATTTTATAGGTGCCAGAGCTCTGGTGGACCTGACGAAAACCTGTTATTTCCTATCCTGTTTCTATATACAGCATGTCACACGATTTATTAAGTATTTCGTGATTATACTCACTAATTATCATATCATTATCAAAGAAAAAATATCAATCATGTATTTATCAATTTAAAAAGGTAAAATACTTACTGCTCACAAAATACAACCAGTGAGACGTTTCACAATAATTTCCACAAAGGGTCAGGTGTGAAATGTTTTCGGGGGATGTGAAGCAACTCTGAAGTGTTTATCTGCCGATCTGTGGTACCCCAGCCATGATATGACATATTTTCCACTGAATAAATAAATAAATAAACCAAATAAATACGTCAGAAAACGTTTTGTGGTTACTAGGCTAGAGGAGGTCCATGTAGTTTAACAAACAGAAGGGCTGAGACATGATATATGAGAATTCTTGAGCGTGTTACTGTTATTATCAGGGTCATGTGACTGAATCCCCTCTCGCACTCAATAGTACTGATAGGACACCCCGTCCTCTGAACAAAGGTCTAAAGTCCATTCCATGCATCCCGCCAAACCCCAGCTGTTTATGAATGATAAACGGTTTACACACGACTCACAACTGATTTCGTTCGAATACTTCCGGAACAAGTGCTTCACTGTCGAATTTTATTCGAACCACAACGCAATAAATGCTTCACCCACGTACTACAAATACAAATAATCGTCAACAGAATCTAAACACCTAATCTAACCTATGCCTATACATGCTCTGTATGCTAATATATTATAATAATTTATATTTGAGAACATTCCTGATGGAATGAACAGCATGTTAAAATGATGAATGCGTCTGTGGGGTCGACCGCTGCATGGAATGGACTTGTGTCGAGGACGGGTTGCAAAATTCGCTGACAAGATCCACAGGATCTTGTGGGCGGCAGTGGAAAGTGTTATAGATGCACATAATGGGCTCAGGGACTGAGCCCCATAATTCATTTAGCTAAGCAAGTTATAGTCTTGATGAGCTAGTTACAAAATTCAATACACATCGTCACATGAACAATGGGTTCGAGACCGACCACAAGTACACTTTCTAAATTAAGCAACTGACTTATGTGGAGAACTAGTGTCACAATTGATATGTTTGTCCTGCACACCGCCCCCCATCCAGTTGGCAGCGGTGGATAGGTTACAATCACTTAGCTACTACCTACAGTTAGCAAACTGGGGATATTTGGCTAAGACTTCTGGCAGCAGATAATTTTGAATTAAATATTTACACATCTCTTTAACATTTGTTATAGAATTGTCTCTGAATTCACAATTCAGATGAAATTTTAACGTATCTTTTCGCACTCCATCACATAGTGACGGAGGGTGTGCAATTAATTTTGTGGACACAGTTTACATTTGGTCAGGTCTACATCAGCAGATAATGAAAATTCCCAGAGATACTTGTAACCGAGTCTAAGCCGAGCAGTAGTAACATCTAGAAGTCTGCTGATTTTATTGGATGAACCATAGATGTGTGGCTCCTCTTGCATGATAGTATGATGATAGATGGAATTACTGGTGTCGATTTCACTTTGCCTCAGATCTACAAGATTTTATTGAAGTTCTTGATTTACTATTGCTCCCAGACTGCTTATTGACAATCCAAGGTTACACTCAATGTCTCCTGTAAAGGCAGATTCTCTGGCTAACTTATCAGCTCTATTATGCATTCGGAGGCTAACATGAGATGGAGACCACATGAAATGGACTCTGTTACCATCCTTAATAATTTTGTTGTATTTGTGTCTAGCTTCAGACACGAGCATGTCCTCGACAAAACAAATTATTATTATTGATCATAATATGCAGATGAGAGAATAATTCACTCTAAGAAACTACAACGTATTTCATCCAATACGACATTACTGAAACTATTAGCCAAGATTACATAGTGTAATTACCGTAAAAGTTTAATTACCGTAAAGCTCCATTGTCTGCTATAGCTAATGATCAAGAAATGTGTCAGTATTTGATTTAAAATAATCTTCAAGCAGAAATTTGTGTTAATTATCTCCAGTGTGGAGATAATTGTAACCTGTAACCTGTAGGTGGCTGTAACCTTTCGACCGCCAGCCCTGTACTGGGTGTGGAGTGCATGATAGGCAAATTACAATGGTGTATAATTGGCTCGTACGAACTTTCACTCTCTCTCTCTCTGTTCATGTCTTTTGAGGTCACGGTGATGTTTAGTTTCACAAACTTTGTATATATACTGTTGGTTTATACATGTTAACAAACTATGTAACTAGCTCATTAGTGTTGTAACTTGCTTAGCTAACTGAATTTTAATTGGGTTCAGGCCCTGAGCCTATTATGTGGCTCTTCAACATATTTTCCTCCACCACCCACAGGATGGGTATGGGGTGCATAATAAATGAACACAGGATGGGTATGGGGTGCATAATAAATGAACTTAACCGAAAACTATTACAGTTAAAATCCTACCGTTTGTGTTTCATTTCATTCACTGTAACCTTTACTATTATTAATAAATCATTTCCTCTGTAACTTGCTTAACTAACGAACTCATTATGAACTACAATAACGTGATATCACGTTATCACGTTATGGCGATCGATATATCCTTGTGTAGGAGCGGTATGGTGGAGGACCTACTCCAGAGTGCAGGCGGGTTATTCCTATAATCTGTTCGTGGCAACTGGCCTACGGAATCCTTAGAGGGCACAGCAGTGCCCCGAGTTGTATAGCTTTTAGCATGTCGTGATTCAGGGGGATGTATGGCTCGCATCTGGTCTTCACCAAGATATGCTGGTTCGATCCCCCCCGCTCTGTTCCACCGATTTTCTCGTTATCTACCACATTATACGAACTCAAAATCCCTCCTCGCTATATCTACTGGATGAACTTAAACGAACTGTTTATCACTAAGTTGCTCCACTAAGCGTGCACTAGGTTTCAGAGCCTCTAGCCAGTGGATCTGAATCCTTCCACTGTTGCCCTCGATATGGGTGTGTTGGGGGAGGGGGGGGGTCCGTGTTATTCGTCAAGCCGCCGGCTTCCTGTCCTCGTCGAGGCCACTAGTGTTAGTGGCTCTGAGGTCAATTCAGGTAAAATACGCCAGAGGTCCTTGTGTCAGAGCCTAAGCTCAGGTGTTATAACGTCCAGTAGTCTGCTGACTTAACTAGATGACCCATAGATATGTGTCTCTTCCTGAATATTAATGTGATAGATGGAATAGACGCGAGGCAAAGTAGAGATTGGTGTTAAATATTTCCTTCCAATTGTCATATTACTTTGTAGAAAGCGCTACAAATCTATGAATCTTCCAGTAAATTCAGCAGCCTACTACTGCTAGGCTCAGGTACAAGTATTTATGGGAGTTTGCATCACCTGCTAATGTAGAGCAAATGTAAACCTTGTCAGCAAAAATCGTAAATGCCCAACGTCCATCACTAAAAAAAAAAAAAATCAAGAATTTATTTTTAAACTCCCACCTTTTAAACTGTCTCTTATGAGCTACTCGCAGACTCTTGGAGTTGCGTAATCTTCAATCATTACACTGCCTGCAAGATTCTTGCTTCACACGTTCACTCCTTAGTGGCGCAGTGGTAACACAGTGGGGGGGGGGGAGGGGGGGTAAGGGTGTTGTACATGCTGCTATGGCGATATGTTCACTCATAGGATGAGTGACACTGCCCAATACTGTCACAACAGCGGCATGTTCACTCACAGGATGAGTGGCGCTGGATAAGGGACGCTGCATATCTCAAACACGAAGGGAAGGAAGTTCTCAGAGGGAAAGCCATTACAACTATATAGCACTTGTAAGGGATCAGGATAAGGATTTGGGATGGGACGATGGGGAAGGAAAGAATTGGTGCCCCAACCACTTGGACGATCGGGGATTGAGCGCCTAACCTAAGTCCGTGTTGCGAACTTTAGTTTCCAATATCAACCACAAGTTAGACGTCCCCAGCGTGGCGTGACGTTGCTAACTGCGGGTTCAGGGACATGTAGCTCCTGGCGATGGCGTCCACCGGACGTTGTCTGGCTGGTGACAAAGATTTACGGACGTCGCCCAGAATCCTCCCACAACAAAGTCACCTTCAACATCAGTATAAGCTTCAGCATATACGTAGGGGAGTTGACATCAAACAAGAGACGACTGGACAAATTACTTTGAAAACATTTGTCTGATGATGGGCAAACTGAGCCATGACAATTTATCAACGAGAATATTATCAACATCTAAACGTCTAATCAACGAGAAAGAAATAATTAAAGAGCGTTCAGCTGCAGTATAAAGATACACAACAGCCCGGATGTTGGTGATGACCGTCTTGGAGGGTCCTTGAGCGGAGACAGGAAGTGTGCGACGTCGCCCGAGGAGTTTGTATTGTGTTACAGAGGCAGGCATTGTGTCACGCAACCGCTTCTGTCGCCGACGTGAGTGCGTGTATACACGCAAGCGCACCCACAAACAAACAACTTGTCCATGTACATTAATTATCGATTATCACCTGTTAAAACAAGTCTCTTTCCCGTCTCCGTGCTGTCTACATATTTACAAATGCGATTTCAATTAAAGAAACCAAACCATATAATTGCTTTTAGTGTCGACCTGAGTTCAAAATAAACAGTCAATAATAATAATACGCGTAATCCATCCCTCGGTGACCCTAGGAAGGCTCAAATATAACAATTATTAAATGAATTGTTGTCAACACTTTTCGTATTAAAATGTATGGCCCTGATGAGGTCGGCCATGTTGACGGGCCGTATCTTGACGTGCGCGTGCCTCCGATGGAAGGCGACGAGGGTCTCCTCCGGGAGTTTAAACTTGACATCGCAATACGCCGTATGGTACTCGACCAGAGTGAAGATGGAGGCTCTCCTCACCACCTCCTGCAGGTCAGAACCGGTGCAGCCCTCTGTTATTTTGGCCAACTCGTCCAGATCGATGTCGCTGTCCGCATTGACTTTGCGCAGCAGGATGCGCAAGATCTCCAGTCGGGAAGCCGCAGTGGGTTTGGGAATGAGAAACTTAACTGATAAACGGCGCAGGATGGCGGGATCGATGGCCTCCAGCCTGTTGGTTGCGGCTAGAAATATCACCTTGGCCTCGGTGTCCGTGTTCATGCCGTCCAAGTAAGTCAGAAAGGTCGCCACCAGCCCGGCTTCACTGCTAGTGACTTCATCGTCCTTGCGATTTCCCAACAGTGCGTCGATCTCATCCAGGAAAATGACACACGGCTGACTCTTATAAGCCAGGGAGAACACGGCGGCCGACAGCTTCTCCGACTCCCCCACCCATTTACTCCTCAAGGTAGACACATTTAGCGACATGAAATAGGCGTTGACCTCGCCGGCAACAGCCTTGGCTATCAGCGTCTTCCCGCAGCCGGGCGGTCCGTAGAGGAGGATACCCTTGGGGGGACTGAAAGCCGCGTCTGTGCCGTGGAACTGGCTGTGCACCAGCGTCATCACGACCTGTTCTCTTATGTCCTGCAGGACTTCGCAGCAACCTCCGACGTCTGCCCACGTCGTGCCAATGGTGCCTGGTGCTAGCAGGTAAGGCAACAATTGGCTCTCGTATTCTTTGGGCTTCTGACCAATTGGGTTCTTGGGCTTCAAGTGGTTGCTGTCGGTCCAGCTGGTGTCGAACTCCGGATACGAGGAGAACTCCGGATTCGATGAGAACTCCGGATACGAAAAGAGGTCCGACCGCACAAATCTCGTCTGTAAGGCCTTCCTCGTCTTTAAGAAGTCTTTCGTCTCCGAGTCGGCTTTCGTCTCCGAGTCGTCTTTCTTCTCCGAATCGTCTTCCTTCTTCGAGTCGCCTATCTTCTCCGAGTCGTCTTCCTTATTCGAGTCGTCTTCCTTATTCGAGTCGTCTTTCCTCTCCGAGTCGCCTTTCTTCTCCGAGTCGTCTTTCTTCTCCGAGTCGTCTTCCTTCTCCGAGTCGTCTTCCTTCTCCGAGTCGTCGTAGCTACTCTTGGAGTAAACTTAACCAAACTTAACATAACGGGAAGCAGACGAGAGAGAGAGAGAGAGAGAGAGAGAGAGAGAGAGAGAGAGAGAGAGAGAGAGAGAGAGAGAGAGAGAGAGAGAGAGAGAGAGAGAGAGAGAGAGAGAGAGAGAGAGAGAGAGAGAGAGAGAGACAGAGGGGGGATAAGAAGGGCGAAGCGTGTGGGAGAGAAGAGGGAAGAATGGTGACGGTAAACATTTAGTGATGAGGGAGAGGGGAAGAGAGACCTCGGGCACCGCTGGGTATCCCATCTATAGTAATGAATGAAATACATATACCAACTACTGCAAGTTTCCGAATCGGGTTTTATTTGAGTCTAGGGTATTTTCGTTTTCTTTCGTGTTTCAGTGTTTCCATTTTTTGTCTCATTAGGGTGAACTCGCAGGGCCAACTCTAGTATTCTTTTCGCTCCTGGGCCAATGATCATTAATTCAGCCTCCCGGCCCCTTGTTTATAAAGGAAAAGCACTTCACACACGTCTTGCATCTGTTGTACCGGATAAGCTAATTGCTAAACTTTTTTGGGGGAGTGAGGGGACCGGGGGGTGGGGCTTTTGACATGACGCCGGCTTCCTGTCCTCGTCGAGTCCGCTGGAGATATAGTGGCCCTCAGGTAAATTCAGGTAAATGACATGGATTTACATCGCAAACTCAAGAGGAAATGATAACAAGAAATGTAAACTTTATTGATATACAATAATTCATTTCATCGGGGGACAGGCAGTCAGTGTATATATACATTTTAGGCCTATGTCGTCCAGCCCAAGTGCCCAACCACTTGAGCTGGACGGTAGAGCGACGGTCTCACTTCATGCAGGTCAGCGCTCAATCCCCGACCGTCCAAGTGGTTGGGCACCATTCCTTCCCCCCCCTCCAGTCCCACCCCAAATCCCTATCCTGATCACTTTCCAAGTGCTATACATAGTCGTAACGGCTTGGCGCATTCCGACACAGCACCGCTCCTGTGCCAGATAAGTCCACTACGGGCTCACCATAGCCCGTGCTACTTGGAACTTGTTCCGAGTAGCTGAATCTATAACAACAACAATTAGCGCATTCTCCTGATAATTCCTATACCTCCCAATGCCCTCCCTCTCCACCCCACCAAGGTTAAATTACTGACCCACCGCAGAATGGAACCCCACATCAAGCTAACTCCTGGACGCCTATTTACTGCTCTAAGTGAATAGTTGATATATAAATCCCGGTATTCCCGGTAATCCCGGTAATCCCGGCAGTACAGTCGGGAGTTCGTTCTCGACGCACAATTGACGACTCCGGGTTCGAGTTCCGGACGGGACAGAAATGGATGGGGCACATTTCCTTTCACCTAATGACTCTGTCCACCTAAAGTCAGTAGGTACTCAGGAGTTAGCCAGCTTGTTGTGGGGTCGCATCCCGGACGGGGTCAGTACTACGACGTTAGGGTGGGGGGGGGGAGGAGACGATTGGTTTGGCTCGATAAAAGCCAAAACGTGTATGAGTGCACTCTGGCTTCCTGTCCCCCTGATACAATGAATTATAATTATATTAAATAGTCTAGATTTATATATCTAGACGACATCGAGGTATACTTTCCCAGTGATTTATTTTCCCAGTGTTTGATTTTTATGGATTTTTAGCGACGAATATTGTTGAGGCTTCAGGTGCTTGTGCTGGTAAACAAGATATGTCTAAATCTCAGACTATGGGTGCCTTCGCACGGCACCTGGCGGTCACATATGCAGGGTCGTTCACTTGAGACAGTTAAGGAAGTCTCAGCTGTGTCTGGGGTACAAGTGACAGGATGAACAACCCAGCGGGGTTTTCTTTCTATTGGGGAGTGTTGTACACGCTGCTATGGCGGTATGTTCACTCAGGCGCCCACATGCGGAACACCGCAGCCGTCATGCAATTCACAAACAGGAGTCTTCGAGGCCCAGCCAAGTCCCCGGCGATGTTGACCAGACCACACACTAGAAAGTGAAGGGACGACGACGTTTCGGTCCGTCCTGGACCATTCTCAAGTCGATGTTTACGTCCCCGGCGATGTTTACGTCCGGCGTCGTTGATGCGACAGCAAAACAACGCAGCCGTTGCGTCTAGACACGACCCCCTCGATGTGTATGATAAGACCGACCCATTCTGCTGAGTCGTATAGACCACCATCACGCTGTGGCTGGTCTAGAGTGTTGCCAAGATTGATTGTTTCCTCATGTGTGTATGCTTTCCTTTGTCGATAACAGGTTTAGCTAACGCTGCACTCGCGACTAAAGGATCCCGTGAGCAGGGGGAGAGAGAAGACACTAATCGTACACACTGATGTCGTGAAAGTGAACGTGAGCCAGTCTTACTGTTACTGTGAAATGATATCACATTATTCACATTATTCTGCTTTGCTTCATACTTACGAAGAGTCAGCATGAAGGACTGCCAGCGAATATTATTTATATTTATATTTGGATGTATAAACTTAGGTAGTCAAGTTGGTATTAGATTATAGCTTTACTTTAACGCACTTTTTTGTTTTGTTTGGGTCATGTAAGAGGGTCTCTGGTTGAGCTCCGATATGTCATATCCGTTGACCTTGCTTGAAAGGTCATGTGTACAATGGGGTGAAGATCTATGACGTCATACGTCAGCCAGACCACCGCCCCCCCCCTATGACTGGGTTACGGCACGTCCCTTGCTTGTTTGGCACACACACACACACACACACACACACACACACACACACACACACACACACACACACACACACACACACACACACACACACACACACACACACACACACACACACACACACACACACACACGTTTCCCGCCAACTCGTCCCCCTCCCGTCCCCTTTCTCACTTCCAGAAAATGTATATTAAGAAGTACTGAAAGAACTGAATAGGTCTTTCAGACAATATATATTACCTGTATTATTATCAATACAAAGTCTTGGGGAATCACAACATATATTTCACACTCCTTGAAAATCGCATTGAGGTGGCGGTAAATAAATGATAATATATACTAAAGCATTTAACTTAGCCCGACCTTAATCAACCTATGTCCGTCCCATACCCAAGACCACTCCCCATGCAAAGTCATGTGAGCCGAACACCCCACACACATCTCAAGCATCTATAGCCTCCACCTTCGATCCAACAGACATTTTCTCAAATAGTATAGCTCAGCGTAAGATGCAGCATAACAATTATCGTAATCCAACGACCTTAATTCATATTACGTAATTATATGAACAAGTGTGATCTGATATAGAAAAACTTATCTCAAGTGTGTGAAACGGACCCCAGACTTGTGGCTCCACTCACACCAGACAAGTCAGTCACCCGCGTGGTGTCGTCCCGTCAAGGTCGACTTGTTATTCATTCTTCCGGACTCTGTCGACACTTCAGTTACTCTTCGTGTGGTGAGTATTATTGTGTATAACTCAGCGCCCCTCACCTTAATGGTTTACTGTATTAACTTGCTTCTTAACATTTGTGTTAATAGTTGTTTTAGAGATATATAAAATGTTTATTGTCTAAGACTAATCCTGGGAGTATGTTTACAGTGGATGGATAAGTCATTCTGGCCTGGTAACGCTTCTATAGCCATGCTGGCCTGGTGAATTTATAGTCTTGCTGAGTTGACGGCTGAGTGGACAGCGCTCGGGATTCTTAGTCCTAGGGTCCAGGGATCGATCCCCGGCGGAGGCGGGAACAAATGGGCAAAGTTTCTTTCATTTTCATGCCCCTGTTTACCTAGCAGTAAATACAAATAAAAAAATCAGTTGATTAACAGTTGAGAGGCGGTCCCAAAGAGCCAGAGCTCAAGCCCCGCAAGCACAACTAGGTGAGTACACACACACATGACACTGGTAGACAGAAGAGTAAGGGGAGACATGATCACAACCTAGAGAATCCTCAGGGGAATCGACCGGGTAGACAAGGATAAACTATTCAACATTGGTGGTACGCGAACAAGGGGACACAGGTGGAAACTGAGTACCCACGTGAGCCACAGGGACGTTAGAAAGAACTTTTTCAATGTCAGAGTAGTTAACGGATGGAATGCATTAGGCAGTGATGTGGTGGAGGCTGACTCCATACACAGTTTCAAGTGTAGATATGATAGAGCCCAGTAGGCTCAGGAATCTGTACACCAGTTGATTGGCAGTTGAGAGGCGGGACCAAAAAGCCAAAGCTCAACCCCCGCAAGCACAAATAGGTGAGTACACACACACACACACACAGGAAGTAGCTCCGTAACAGCTGTCTAACTCTCAGGTACCTATTTACTGCTAGGGAACAAGGGCATTCAGGGTGAAAGAAACTTTGCCCATTTGTTTCTGCCTGGTCCGGGAATCGATCCCGGGGCCACAGAATTACGAGTCCTGCGCGCTGTCCGCTCAGCTACCAGACCCCAGGAAGAGGCCTTTGTGGCCTTGAGGAAGAGCTTCTGCCTCAGGCTCGTTGGAGTCGACAGTTCGAGTCTCCCTGTGCCCTAGTGAATGAAATATATACATACGTTAGGCTTATATCTTTATATTTTATAGGTTAGGATGTAACTCCCACAAACGTTGACTAACTCACGGGTGTATATTTACTGCTAGGTGAATAGATGCATTAGGTGAAAAGAAATATATTTAACCGTTTCTGTCCCGACCGGGATTCGAACCGGAGAGTCCCTATTGCGAGTCGAGAACGGACTACCGAGATACAGTTGTAATAGTACTGTTTTAACTCATTCCTTATCTGAAATCCTAAATGCGATCAGTCAGCTGTGACCCTCGACTGACAAAACGAATTCCTTTAAAACACAACTCATAGCCCAGTCGATAGTGCCTCGGCCTCACAAGCGTAGAGTCCAGGGTTCGAGACCCATACAGGTGATTAAAGGAAATAGCAACACGCCTGTTGAATCAAACAATCAGGAAATACCAGAACGGGTTTGGGATCATAGGAAAAGATGACAGACTGCCCAAGCGTTTCTGTTGTTGTGTGTTGGTGATCCTTGGATATCTACCTCAACGCCTATCTACACTCCGAGGGTCATTAGTGTGTGTGGTGGCAGTATTAATCCCACGTGACGAGCCTGTGACGCGATGGATTGTCATGGAACATCAGTGAGTGAGTGAGGCGAAAGAGCCTATTCAGCGGTGATTAGTTGTTGAAATCTGTAAACTATTCCTAAGTCATCCGGGCGTGCTAAATCCATGAAATATTTCCTCCTCTCTGAGTGTGTGTGTGTGTGTGTGTGTGTGTGTGTGTCTCTCGATATAATTATATTCTCATTGGTGGCACTTGTGTTGTCTCGCGTCGATCAGGCTGGAATGTTTATACCGCGGTTACTCTTAAGAATCTGGTGACTGAGCATTAGCGCACGCAATCAGTGACTGATTTTTAAACAGATTGTGAGGCAGACATGACTGGTCTTTTTTTTGGGGGGGTGGGGAGATGAATTAGAACAGATGATGAGTCACAATAACGTGAGTGAGGATATTGATGACCAAATCTCACTCACCAGAAGATGAGAAGGCGACGACGACGTTTCGGTCCGTCCTGGACCAAGTCGATTGCGGATAATGACTGCAAACTGATAATGGACTTGATAATGGTCTAGGATGACCCGAAACGTCGTCGTCGTCTCGTCATCTTCTGGTGTATGTGAGGTTTGGTCACCATATCCTCAGCCACGTTATTTGTGACTTATCGTCATTTCCACTGCCTGCCTACCTCCGGTCATTACCCTGAAGATGTCATCAATATATCCCAGTTATATTATCCATCCCTGGTCTCTCTATACATTCAAACTGTGTCAAAGACTTATGTGTGGATGAAGATTTCTGCTATCGCCACACTGCTTGAAACTCCGAGTGCCATTCTTCTTTAATCTGTCTGTAGATTCTATTGTCAAAGCTTAGGAAGCTGTCCCCTGACCATCACAAGAAGGCTTGCTTCTTCAAAGGCACTACGGGCTCACCATAGCCCGTGCTACTTGGAACTTTGTTCCAGGTAGCGAATCTTTAACAACAACAACATTGCTTCTTCAAGTAACTGCTTAATTGGTGGTCTGAAGACTCTTGCTTGACAAAATGACTGCAATACATGGCTGTGCATCACCCATTCTATGCCTTTTAAATCCAATCCAATCAAATGTTCCTTCAGGTAAAAGTACATACATACAAGGAGCCACTAATATGCACAGCGTTTCGGGCAATTTATTTTGTATCTGTTGCTGTATGATTTTGTTACAGGAGTTTCAGAATGACGTGGAGGGTTTCCCCCCTCTCGCCATTTCCAGTTGAGACTGTATTTGGCCTACAACCACTTTTATAATTCATGATCTGTGGATGAGTAATTTTCAAATGCAGTTTGAAGGTAGAGGCCTATATTGATCTTGTAGGTCTGTGTTCAGGAGTAAAATGTATACTTCGCTGGTTGGTTAGTGGTGACCCTCCACGGGTCACCACTATAACCCTCCACGACAGATAGAAATCAAGACCAAAATATCAGTTTTAATGTATACCTATGTATTAATACAATGTATACTTACATGTATGGTTGAATTATCACCACAGTGTATACGCGATGATCAGGAAGTCAAGGTTTGATCAATATGACTATTATTATGCTAAACAAAATCAAAGCAATACTGCGGCACTGATGTTTTCGACGAGATAACAAGACTGCCTTCTGAGCAGTTTGTCCCCCGAGAGTGATAACGCAGTTCCTGCTATCTCTTCCACCCGCGCCTCGCCTCAGTGGGGCTGCCTACACCCAGAACTGCCTCCTAACTGCGCCTCGCCACAGTAGCTCTACCAACTCTGATAACCTGTTATCTATCCAACCTGGTCCTCGCCAACCTATCCAGGTTATCTATCCAACCTGTTCCTCGTCAACCTATCTATCCAACCTGTTCCTCGCCTCACTGAGCCTATCCACACACGTTTTTGGCTGTGAAGATATCGTCTGGACACAACCCAATGGTCCCGGATTCGATTCCTGGACAAGACTTTAATTTTGGGCACGATTCCTTACACCTGATGCCTCTAATCAATCAACAGTGAAGAGGCACCCTTGCATTTGGGCAACTGTTAAGGAGTTACGCAAAAATGTGAGAGAAGCTAGAAAAGCAATGCCGATAGGTAGGGCTACATTTACTACTAATAATAACACACTAAGTTAAAAATAGTTAAATTCTAACGAAAATGACTTGGATTGTATATCGAAACACTTTGTATTTTCTAGTCGAAGTGTGTATATGATACATGGAGAGGGTATACTTTATTAACTTAATATGAGGAAAATCCAAAATCCAAAGATAAATGCATCAATAAATCTACCTATCAGTTATTGGTCCCGGGAAGCAATGTCCCCCGTGGTCTCTGTAACCAGGCCTTCTGGTTGGTGGTAGACATATATATATATATATATATATATATATATATATATATATATATATATATATATATATATATATATATATATATATATATATATATATATATATAATTTTGGTTTGATATAACTAGTAGCTGCCTCGTATGGGCCAATATAGGCTTTCATGCAATTTATATTATTCCCCAGTTCTTTTGTTTTTTTTTAAATTTTATATTTCCAGGTGATAATGGTTTGGACCGTGTTGCTGGACTACTGGAAAGCTCTGCCATGGTGGGACTACTTGGATTTGGGTCAGGTTTGGGGCACTGTGAGGCCCTTCGTCATCTGGGGCCAGGTAGTGGTGTTCGTGTGTCTCCTGCTGGTGGCCACCATCGGCCGGCAGCTCAAGCTCAGGAGGAAGTATGTAGAGCTCTTGGATCGGGTCTTCCAGTTCGCAGCTCTCAAGATTGTCGAAGAGCCGCTGGCGGAAGAGGAGGAGGAGGAGGAGGAGGACCTTTCAGAGAATAATGGGTGAGTCTGGTAGACATTATATATATATATATATATATATATATATATATATATATATATATATATATATATATATATATATATATATATATATATATATATATATATATATATATATATATATATATTTCTAGTCGAACTATGTATTTATGATACATGGAGATATACATGGAGACATGATACTGTGTAATACATATATAATAAATTATTACACTTCATTACAGGTAGGCACAAGGTTCATAACATCCATCAAAACAATTTTTTACTCTTGTGAATCACAGGTTATGACAGATATCTGCATGTAATGCAAATATCTAATCAGTGAGTATTGTGATTTCAATCAAGATAGATCGATAAAAAGACGTGTTTGCTCTGGAACGGTTCTTCCTCTCTTCTTTCAGGGTAGTTATCTGTCCAGAGTCTCCTCGGGCAGAATCCGCCTCTTCCACGGGGTCCTTCAGTTTCCAGGACCCGATGCCCTACCTGGCGGCGGGGATGAGGGCTATCGTCGAGGACTGCGTCAGCAAGAGCTTCACTCCCGCCGAACTGCGTACCTGGAATATGCTTTCCAGGTGGGTACGGGCCCCAACCACAATTGGAATATATTTTTCAGGTAGGTATGGGCCTCTGACCATACCTGCAATATGTTGTCCAGAGAGGGTTTGAGTCCTAATGGCATGGCATGTGCTTTAGAGGTGGTTATGGGCCCCTCTAACCGCACCTGGAATGTTTTCTAGCCATAACCCTCTAAGATTTATGTAACTGTAACGCTGAAATATTTTTGTTCAGAGTTATACTTCAGCTTCAGCTGTAATTACCTGCTTAGACATCTCCACTCTTAAACTAAGCTCAACAATGGATTACAAAGGAAATTGAAACAGCAGCAGACCATTAGATCGAAACTAGGCTGTTTCTAGAAAACATGCGGTTGCAAAGACAAGGTGAGGCGCGGATAATCAACACATGGAATAATCCGTGACGCTCTCTCTGGTGCAGAACCAAGAAGAAACGATACCTGCGCGCGAGTCCCTCCCTGACGGTGGTGTGGGCGGTGGGGTTCGTGGTGCGGTGGGTGTTCCTCATGCCGGTGCGGGTGTTGCTGCTGGTGCTGAGTCTGGTCACCTTGAGCGTCCTGTGCTCCATCGTCGGCCTCCTCCCCAACAACGACTCCAAGCGGAGACTCAACGCCCGCGTCGTCGTCTGGTGTTTTGACTTCGTCGCGTCATCGCTTTCCATCGTTGCCAGGTATACATGCTGACCTCATCCAGAGAGGCGTGTTGTTTACATAACTGCAAGTTGTTGAGTTAGACAAAGCTGCAAGAATTCATATTCATCACAATGTAACGGTTTGCAATCAATTATATAACAATAATTGTATATAGAGTAATATATTGAGTACTGGAGCTTCGTCTCTTTCACCTGCAACTGGATGACACGGAATATTCCGTGAAAATATATTTTGTCGCGTACGTAAAAAAATTGTCTTCTGTACTAATGACTTCATTTATCTTGATAGATTTCACGACACTGAAAACAGGCCGAGCCACGGCATCGTGGTGGCCAACCACACCTCCCCCATCGACTCCATGGTCCTGGCCACCGACCAGTGTTATGATATGGTGAGTTCTGGCCATCAACGTGAGTTCTGGCCATCATCGTGAGTTCTGGCCATCATCGTGAGTTCTGGCCATCATCGTGAGTTCTGGCCATCAACCAGTACTGGGAAATCGTAGCTATAGGGCCCTTAAGTGGCTGCTAGCACCAATTTTTCCCTGAGAGGCTTTTCTTCTGTTTTTCAATTTAAAGCATGTCGCGGTGTTGATACAATAATTGTGGCGTTCATTGGTATCGCTTATGAGTGAGAACGTGATTTCTTTTGTAACATTAAATAGTATTTGACAGTGTTTATATTCTGTGGAGTTCGTATAGATCTTTCTCCAATTTCTCAACTGGGGTAAACAACTGAAAATGGAGATTTTCCCTAAAATAAGACCTTGCGGCACTCCACTCAACATTTACGCAATCACATTATTATCTCTTATTTCTCTTAGTGGGCCAGCTAGAGGCTTACGGCCCGCGCAGGAATATCCCTGCAAAAAAAAATCTCATATTTACCCTGTGTTTTTCAGTGTTTTAACAATTGTATTATCCATTTCATTACTTTTTCGTCGACTCCATGTAGACTCTGGGTCAGTACTTCGTGTGGCCCCTCATCACAACCTTCAGAGAGATCATTGTACACTACAACAATTGGAAAAACTTTGATTACTGTTTTCAGAATCATAGCAGGCGTGTTAGCCAGGAATTTTGCTTCTTTATATATAGCAGTATATATATATCTTTTATAAAAAATGTTGCAATGCTTTTAAATGGTAGTGCACTGTTATCATGCATGGAGTTAGCATATATATATATATATATATATATATATATATATATATATATATATATATATATATATATATATATATATATATATATATATATATATATATATATATATGTTTTTGTTATAGTTGTTGAATGATACTGAAAGTTTAGGCTATCATTTAGATTCATGTCTCTCAATTTACTCACATAACATTCTTCAGCTTTACGATACAGTGAAATGACGTAGAAATAATGCACTGGAAAGGCTCCAGGTGATATTCACTGAATCCAGTTCGTAAAAGAGGACTCCAGTCCCCCTTTAAGAAGCTCATTATATTAATACAGAGTAATGAAGAGTTTCAGATGCTCTTAAACCATGTCGGAAAATCCGACACCATTTAATATATCATACAGACAGATAATATTTGTTGCTGTATTACCAACAAGTTACCCATAGAAAACGTAACTTGTAGTGGAATTACCGTCTATAGAAAACGGGATATCATCACCACATACTATTATAATTCACCAGCTATTCTGCTGGGAATTGTTCTTAAATACATTAGTCTTTGGACTTTACCATCATAAAAACATCTTATATAAATTAACTTAATTATCAATATTAAAGTAGAGTAAATGTGACCCTTCTATCACGTTCTGAAATCTGGACAATGTAAGCCAGGCGTCAGAGTGGAGGAAGGAGGGCAGCCATTGTTGTTTATAGAGACCAGAGGCTCACACGGGAGCAAATTCGGCTCCTGTTAATTTTACTTGGACGTAGTGTTATGGATACCAAAGGTGTACCATCTGTCAACACGCTGTCAACAAATCAAGTTAAGTGTTCTTTCCGAAACCCATTATCTATCATTAGTGGCCATTAATGTCATTGGGTAGGGTTAGCCGGTTAGAACGCGAAATCGCCTCAAACTAAAGGTAATTAAGCCAGGTCTTCATGTTCCATGTACTGTTTTCTCTGATATACTTGTCATATATAGGTATCTGGCTTCACAGCTAGCGCACTTTTGACAGGTCAAGACGAGGATGCAAGATTTGTGCACCAGTTACTGGGTGATATGGAAGCTACCTCAAAGAGGATAATTTGGTGTCTACACCCTAGTTATACCTGGTGGACTAACCTGCTGTACTATAAGAGAAGGAACCTCATCAATGTATGTAGCTATTACTGTAATTTGATTGGCTGCATATGTGTAATATAAACCCCCCCTAATGTGTAGAGGATCGATTTGTGAGATTAAGAGATTATTGCAGAAATACAGTCCACTTATCATTATACAAATTGCTATCGAAGTATATAAATTAACGTAAATATAAATTCATATAAATTAAATAAATATAAATCTCACAGGTCGGTTCCCACATTTTTGGTCATCTTCGAACCGGATGACGGATTATTTGATCCTTTGAACCCACATTTGGTCATCTTAGTACCGGATGAACCAGTTATCCAGTGGATTCATTAAATACTAGTGCAGTGTTATTTAAACAAAGCCAGCCAGTCATAGACGGCAGCGTAGCCTCGAGGGAGCTCAGGAGCCTCCCTCAGCCCAGTTCAGCTTCGTCAGCGGTTTCATGCACACCCACAGATATTTGGTGGCGTGTTATTTCGTGAAATGACAGCGCTAATATAGAAGCCAGCCAATTAGTGACTGTCGCAAGATTGTTCACGGATTTCGTGGTGTTACATTTCGCGAGAGATTATCTACGAATTTTGTGGACTTTATTTCGCGAGGTCACTAATAATATTTAATACTTCTAGATAATATTAGAAGTTTCATAGAGGCTAATTAAGAGGCTATTATCAATAATTGTGTATATTATTTCTCCAAAATAGAGAATTATTTAATATATATTGCACTAGTGATCACAGTATAATATTTACTAATTGCCAACCCACAACAGGGTAGGATATTAACCATTGACTAGTTGAACTATTATCGTTCATCCTAGTCCCATTATTACAATAGTCAGTTGTACTATATTGAACAACCTACACCATTAATGAATGGTCCAGACCCTATTTTGGGTGTAATTTTTATCAACTCGAGTTGAGTTGTATATATAATAATTTACTTATGATCATTACACCTTTGAGTGATTAATTAGTGTCTCTACCATCCTAGGGTGATATAGAAGAGCTAACCTAAAGGTACTTCCAGTGACACTGGTTTATCACTCAAATCATTAGTGTGTATGATTGTATATATATATAATGTGTATTAATTTTAAGTGCTAACCTCTAGTAGAGGTAGGATTATTGCCTAGTGAGTTCAGAATTTACCCTAGGCTACCATTAGTGTTTGTTCAGTATTATGAGCAGCCCAAGTACAAGCCCCACAAGGCTTCACCAACGAGCCAGTATGGATAATGCAGGGAGAATGAAAAGAACCCTTGCAGGTCTTAAAGGCCACTTAACAAGACAGATCAAGAAATGTGAAGATTTGTCACAACAATCAACAGTTGATTATGCTGACCTGGAAAGCTATTATCAAGCAGCTGCAGGTAAATTTGAGCAAATTAAATGTCAAATAGCAACATATGTGGCTGAACTTGCCAACACTAATTTATCAGAAACAGAAATAGACGACATTATGGTTGATCTTGCGAATTATGAAGATCACACTCAGGCCACGTTACAGCCTTATGTCAAATTAATTGCCCAGAACAAGGCAACAGCAACAACAACAACAGTTGCATCTAATACGAGTCAAGCAGAAGCTCGACTCCCTCCAATTAATTTACCCACTTTCTCAGGAAAAGATGAGGAAGATTGGGACGAATTTTGGAACAAATTCGTTGACCTTGTAGACTCAAAACAATCTTTACCAAAGAGTAGTAAATTCTCTTATTTGCAAGGCCAATTATCAGGTGAGGCTAAAACAGTAGTATCCCATCTGAGATTAACTAATGACGGCTATGATCTGGCAGTAAAACTCCTCAAGGATAATTATGCTGATCCAGAAGTAAGAACATCACATTTAGTTCATGAGCTGTTGCATTTACCCCCACCGGAGGCTTCAGCTGATTCACTCCAAGTCTTCAAGCTGGAGGTAGAATCATTGATCAATGCCCTCAGCCTGACAGCAGATACAAACGGGGCTGAGTGGGTCTTGAAAATAATTGTCCAGGAGAAAATACCTAGGGACATATTGAGACAAATGAGTGCTCATTACAATAAAAGTATCTTATCCATGAATGAAATATCTGAAGGTTTAAAGTCAGTAGTTCATCAATTACGAACACATGACAAATTAAAACCACCAAGTAAACCCTCAGAAACCAATAATAGTAAACCACAGAGTACCAAAGGTACTCCAAATCAATCTAGACAATATAATTCAACACCAAAGTGGAACAGTAGCAGTGTGGGCGTATATGCAGTGGGACCCTCCAAGCCTATAGTTACTGTGTCACCCAAGAACGTGACACCAAAGGGTACTGGAAGCTATGGAACATGTTTGTTCTGCAATGAGAAACATTCAATGTACCACTGCTCTAATTTTCCTGATAGTGACGCCCGTGTTGAGCGACTCAAGGATTTGCAACATTGCACGAGGTGCCTCAGGAAACATAACATCAAGGATTGTGATACCCAATTACACACCTGTAATAGGTGTAACAAAGGTCAGCACCATGCAGCATTGTGCAGAGACACCAAAACAACGTCTCCAAACCCCAAGGTGGAAGATAGCATTCCCACCACAGTACAGTACTGCAAGGTGCAACAAACAAAGAGTGTCCAATCGGCAAAGTCTAAAGGTAATACGACTTTGCCTACTGCCCAAATTACCATCCTGAATAAGAGGGCCAAGGTCCATACCCGTGGGTTGTTTGACCAAGGATCCCAGAGAACATATATCACTAAAAAGTTGGCAGATGAATTACAATTAAGGCCTGTAGCCCAGATGTCATTCAACATCTCAGGGTTTGTAACAGATGCAGGACCTCAAGTCTACCAGGTGGTACAACCATCAGTACGTTTAGGCAGGTACGTCTGTCGAGTACAAGCCATTGTGGTGGACAAAATACCAGTAGACCTACAAGTTCAAGGTCTGAGAGCAACAGCCAAATTCCTGAGAAATAGAGGAATAAAATTGGCAGATAATATTAAGTCTGATCACCTCACTGACTTCGGTCTCCTTGTTGGGACAGACTATTGCCATCGATTCATCGGTAGCCCTACTAAATATCAGGGTATAACCATGTTAAACTCTGCAGGAGGTAAATTACTCTCAGGCCCAGTATCAAGCCTGAGGAGACCTATGCCTGCAGATAAACAACACCAATAGAATCTAAATTTGTCAGCTGATTATATTTCTCCAGTAGCATTATACTAAGGAGATTACAGCTGACTATACCAACAGAGGTTGATGTTAGTATCATCATTTAAAGCTGGAGTTGAGTTCATGAGGCCTCAGTGGCAAATCAGTGAACAGTAGCCTAAAACAGCTACAAGTCACTGCGACCAATGTCACTGAACCCACTGCAGTCTCAGAACCATACTTTACTTTAATGATGAGCTATTCAGTCTTCTGAATCAATTAACTAAATTAAACCCCAATAAATCTGATGACTGATTTGATACATTTATTATTTAATCAAGATGTATTCAATGGGCCTCAGTGTTTATATATCAGTGACCAGTTACCTGAAGAAACTTCAAGTTATATCTAATGTCACTGATCTCACTGCAGTCCCTGAATCATACTTGACTGTAGTACTTGATCACATTCAGTCTTCTGGGTTAAATAATATGTAATTAGGCTTGAATATTAGCCTTTCAAGAGTTGACAGGGAAATGAAATCGCATTAGACTTCTAACCCCTACAACTCTAGTACGGGACATCCGTCCTGTACGAACAGACACACAAATGTGTGATTACTAACTACTAACATCAAATTAATCTAATAATTCGAAGGAGGAGTATCGGTGTTCGTCTGTTCTAAATAGGACTTCGACCCGTGAGCAGCCCCCTGGGGAATTATGTCGGAAAATCCGACACCATTTAATATATCATACAGACAGATAATATTTGTTGCTGTATTACCAACAAGTTACCCATAGAAAACGTAACTTGTAGTGGAATTACCGTCTATAGAAAACGGGATATCATCACCACATACTATTATAATTCACCAGCTATTCTGCTGGGAATTGTTCTTAAATACATTAGTCTTTGGACTTTACCATCATAAAAACATCTTATATAAATTAACTTAATTATCAATATTAAAGTAGAGTAAATGTGACCCTTCTATCACGTTCTGAAATCTGGACAATGTAAGCCAGGCGTCAGAGTGGAGGAAGGAGGGCAGCCATTGTTGTTTATAGAGACCAGAGGCTCACACGGGAGCAAATTCGGCTCCTGTTAATTTTACTTGGACGTAGTGTTATGGATACCAAAGGTGTACCATCTGTCAACACGCTGTCAACAAATCAAGTTAAGTGTTCTTTCCGAAACCCATTATCTATCATTAGTGGCCATTAATGTCATTGGGTAGGGTTAGCCGGTTAGAACGCGAAATCGCCTCAAACTAAAGGTAATTAAGCCAGGTCTTCATGTTCCATGTACTGTTTTCTCTGATATACTTGTCATATATAGGTATCTGGCTTCACAGCTAGCGCACTTTTGACAGGTCAAGACGAGGATGCAAGATTTGTGCACCAGTTACTGGGTGATATGGAAGCTACCTCAAAGAGGATAATTTGGTGTCTACACCCTAGTTATACCTGGTGGACTAACCTGCTGTACTATAAGAGAAGGAACCTCATCAATGTATGTAGCTATTACTGTAATTTGATTGGCTGCATATGTGTAATATAAACCCCCCCTAATGTGTAGAGGATCGATTTGTGAGATTATGAGATTATTGCAGAAATACAGTCCACTTATCATTATACAAATTGCTATCGAAGTATACAAATTAACGTAAATATAAATTCATATAAATTAAATAAATATAAATCTCACAGGTCGGTTCCCACAAACCAGATCCAATTACAAGATAATGGGTTCACACACACACACACACACACACACACACACACACACACACACACACACACAGGTAACATTTTTAAAGCTATAGATGGAAGAAAGCCTCTCCTGACGGCGGTGGTATCTTTCACCCCATAACAGGTGGGGCAGAAAACTAGGGGCATCCTGGGGATGTTCATGATGGCGCTGGCTAGGTCGTCCCACCACATCTGGTTCGATAGATCTGAGGCTCGTGAACGATCCCAAGTCTCGAAAATGTAAGTTAAAAATGTTAACATGAAATTGTAATCGTATTCTCATGTTTAATAGAATAATTATCATTACTATTATTTTTATTATTATTATTACTTGAATTATTATTATTATTATTATTATTATTATTAATATTATTAGTATTATTTAAGAACAGTGTTACCAGAGAGGCAATACCGCCCTCAAGTCCAGTACCCTTAACTGTAAAGTGTCAATATTGCCTTTTAAGTGTGAGGCTCTCAAGTATTCTTAAGTGTGAATGAAAGTCTGAGGAAAAAACCCATATGTGTGTGCAAAGACACATGTAGAGGGAATTATCATTTGTTTACGTTCTCTCTCTAAATATATCGTTTAGAAGCATACATATATATATATATATATATATATATATATATATATATATATATATATATATATATATATATATATATATATATATACTGGGTGTATATGAGCTGTTGTTATGATTTATTTTTCATGTAAAGTGTGATAGCTCTTAAACCAACACGAAATTAATAACCCTACTCTTTGTCTCTCTCTCTCTCTCAACGAAATGAATCTGTTCACCTGCACTTCCGGGCTATTCATGCCCGTGCCACCTCTTGGGGTGGCTTAATTTTCACCAATGTGTTCACCTGTAGGATCGAGGCGCACGCACAGGACCCGGCCAAGCCCCCGATACTCATCTTCCCTGAAGGGATCTGTAACAACAACACCGTTGTCCTGCAATTTAAGAAGGGCGCCTTTGAGGTAATGACTTTCTGTCCCGTTGAAAGTAATCTAAAAGCCTTTTGTGATGCTCTTTCCCCCACACACGTTAATCGCTATTCCTCTCGCCCCACACACACACATATAGCTGGATAGCGACATCTTCCCCGTGGCCATCCGGTTCGACTTGAGGTACGGGGACCCCTTCTGGTACCAAGACACCTTCGGCGCCTACCTCTTCAGTATGATGACCTCCTGGGCCATAGTGTGCGACGTGTGGTACCTGCCCAAGACCAGGCGAGCACAACACGAGTCGGCAGTGGCCTTCGCAAATAGGTCAGTGGAGCTCACGAGATGCTGGGAGGGTAATTGCTTCTTTTGCCATGGTCGGGGGAAGAGGAAGTCTGTTTGAGTAACTATTTAAGGGGAAAGGTCAACCTGGAGACGCTTCTCAGTGTGTATATATATATACATTCAAGAGCATACTCTAGTACTGGAGTATGTTCAATACAAAAGCATATACTTGCTGGTTGGTGTATATGTTGACCAGACCACACACTAGAAGGTGAAGGGACGACGACGTTTCGGTCCGTCCTGGAGCATTTTCGACTTGAAGAATTGTCCAGGACGGACCGAAACGTCGTCGTCCCTTCACTTTCTAGTGTGTGGTCTGGTCAACATATTTCAGCTACGTTATTGTGACTCCTCGTCTGTATAAATATTATTATTTATTATACTCTCTAAATGATAATAAATAAGATAAAGACGGACCGAGAAACCTAAATTTACATTATCCAGAAATGCGAAGAGTTAGAATGTTTTCCTCAAAACTTAACTAATAGATGAAAGGCCTTAAATTAGTTAATAAGACTAAATGTTAACTTTGTTACCCCCAACATTAACTGAACCTGCAACGTTGAGTAACGAATTTAAATTAAATTTAGACTGAGAGATTAAATAGGTAAACATTAGATCAGAAATAGGTTAGGAATCTGAGGACTTGGTTGCTAACACGAAAAATAGCTAACATAATGGGAAATGTAAACACCAATGTAGCTAACAATGTAACTAATTTCATGCACAGGAGAGATGAGGACACGAGTGGCGGTAGTTAGGTGAGACGATGAGTAGTTGAGTGCATAAGCGGAAGTAATTGAGATCATGGATTCCATTGTCGATGACAGGAAGCCAGATGCGGGAATTTGCTATCATATAATAATTCTCTCTTATAAAGTACTGTGATATTTGTCTCATAAGTATATTTACAAAGTATATACACCTATTAAGAACATATATATATATATATATATATATATATATATATATATATATATATATATATATATATATATACATATATATATATATATATATTTATATATATACATATATACTTACCAGATACACGCATTTACGAAGACGAATCCACATGTAACCAAAAATTACATATTTACGATGTATACATATATAAATTGAGATAGTCCTCTCCCCACAAGCACAAATCTTCATACACACACACACACACACACACACACACACACACACACACACACACACACACACACACACACACACACACACACACACACACACACACACACACACACATACACACACACACACACACACATCACTCCTCTAATGTCCGACATGTTGGTTTTCTCCTCGAAACAGGGTGAAGGCGCAGATAGCCCACCGAGGGGGGTTCGTGGAGCTGGTGTGGGATGGGTTCGTGAAATACTCGAGCAGTCTACAGATGAAGCAGACCCACTGGAGAAAGAGGCAGCAGGAAGAGTTTGCCAGACACTTGAGTGAGAGCGAGGACCTCGAAGTGAAGGAGAGAGAAAGAGAGAGAGAGAGAGAAGAATGTGAGAGAGTGAGAGGAGAGAGAGAGAGAGACAGATGTGAAAGACACATCAAAGAAGCTTGAGAGGGTTTCGTCATTATATCTACCATCGAATAAATATATTTAAAGTCAAAACTATGCAGAGTTTTTATATATTATTTTATAGTCAAGAGCTAAATATATCATAATGCAGGAAATGAAAGTCGACATTATTATTTCCGTTCATTAACAACTTCCACGTGTGTCAACGGTACACTAATATGCACATGTCTGAACATAGGTCGTTACTGTACAACAATTATCCTTTGAAAAGGCGTTTATGTATAGCCTTAGGACAAAAGTAGCTCATGTATAACCATTCGGTCCAAAAGGGGTTTAGGTATAACCCTACTGACCAAGGGTTTATCTACTGTCATTCGCACAAAAGGGGGTAATCCATTACCCTCGGGGAGGGGAGGGGGGTTATGTTACTAAAAGGTAATGACAAAAAAAATACAATGGTATACAATGGTCTATTATAATTATTTCATTATGATTACAAAACTCGTAACTGCCCGAGCTGCGTTCAGATTCCAAACTCTTGATCGGAGGTTCGGAATCTGTTGTCTGGCTGTTGAAATTCACCCTTATTGACAGTTTGGAACACCTTACAGCAATTAAAATGGTTTTGGGGGCTTTTATTTGTAATGCATGGGAAGAAATATCTATATTTTTTCTCTTTGCTGTTTCCAGAAGCTATAATATTTGCACTGTGTGTTATAGTTGGTTATATGTCTTATTCTTGTTAATGCGGCTTTTTGGTCATATTACAGACGTCATCAGTCTCATGGCGATTCTTAGCCTGAGGACTGGTTTAACAGACTGTCATCTGTGTGGCCCCCTGCCAGGTTCTGCGCGGGCAGCTGTGGCAATTCTGCCGGTGGCTGGTCGGCTCCTACAGGAAGTTCCTCGCATGGAAAGTCCAACATTTTCCTCACCAGTTTCACGTTGAATCTCAAGACATACTCGAGCATCGACAAAATATTCTCCACCTCGTTAATGTATTGCTTCTGCAACTGCGTTGTGCGATTGAGGTGAGCGAGTGTGAGTTTGTGGCCCGATCTCTCGCTAAGAACTTCAGTCTGTTCCAGTCTTTGTGACAGAGTTAGGACGTCGGTTCTGGAATCGTAAAAGGCTTTCAGTTTCTTTCGCTTGATTTTTGAGGCTTCAGTGGTCTGGGTTCTATTGGCTAGATTAAAATGTTCCATTTTGTATTTTGTGTTTAATTCCTCTAACACTTTGTCTCTCTGTTCCTTCAGGCTATTTAATTCATGGTGCATTATATACTGTTCAAGTTCAGCCTTCGTTTCTGATTTATGGATAATGTTCACGAGTTCTTCGTTGAGAGACTTGACAACGTGTTTAAACAAGTCGTCCATGGCCACCAGGTCAGGGTGACATTCGCCAATGGAACCGCGCGAAGTACGCCAAGTGGCCAGCGATATCTGGCCCACCTTGTTGAGGGCCTTCAGGAACTTCATGTTGGCCTCGTTGAGCTTGGCTGTGTACTCCACTTGCTCTACTTCCTCTTCATTTCTGGTGTTGTATAGCGCCTCTTTCGACGTCTTTAAAGCTCGTATTTGATGCAGGAGTCGCGTTAATTCTTCCCAGTTTTTATCCTTGCGCTTCTCTTCGCTGTGATATTTAGTTTCGTGATCATGGAGTTCACTGTTAATCAGATCTTCTTCTATCTGGGATCGATTATGTCTTCTGTCATCAATTTCCTTTAGTTTTGCCCGGCACTCTTTCTCAACAACTTTTAATTCATCTTCTAACAGCGATTTCTGCTTCTGCATCGAGGTGCAAACTTCTTGGGTGAGGCGTTCCAGATTGTGTAGGTACGACTCTGCTTGCTTTCCAGACACTTGCTTTAGAAACGACTTTTGTTCATCTTCTTGGTCATAGCTAAGTAAAGGGTCACTTGTAAATTTAACATCTTCTTTGTCAAGTGGCTCAGGAGAGCTCTGTCTTAAGTTGGAGCGACTCCAAAGTTCTGATTTCCTCCTCAGGTGAAGGAGTAAGGTAGCGACTGTAAATGAGAGGATTGTAAGGAGCATTAAGACTAGACAAGCAACATATTCCCTAAAGTAAGTGACAATGAGAGAGCATTCCTTGGCCGTCGTTGGTGCGTATGTGGCAGTCAGCAGAGTCGGTTGTTCCCTGACCGTAGTTACCTTCAAACTACCAGTGTAGTTGTCCAAAGTCAGTGTGCTTCCAGCCGCCATGACTATACTGTCCTCGGAAGCCATTCTGGTGAAGGAATCTCTCATAACTACGTCACCTCCCTCCACGACTAAACATCTGACCAGGAGATGACCAACGTGTGTGTTTTCAAACAGAAGCCGCGAGCCACGGCTCAGCTGCATTTTTTTAAACGTGTTTATCCTAGTAGAGTGAAAAATGGCATGGATGCTGTCCAGGAGAGGAGCCCGCACTTCCAGGACGTCGATAAGGGAACCGATGACGGTAAGGTGCGTTACGTCCACCGACGCGAACAGCCGCGTTATGTTGCTAGCCTCCAGGTAGATCTGGTCGGCCCGGCTCGGGAGCTTGTTCAGGCTCGAACGTTTGGAGGAGAATTCTAAGGTGGAGTGACAGCCTTGACCACCAGACACCACCGTCACGTTGGTCACATTCGTCACGGACAGGTTCACGCACAGCGACTCGCTGATAAGCAGAGTGTCACTATTGTACACGAACACCTTGTGCACTCTCTCGTCCACTGGGCCTCCTATGTGCACCGCCTGTGGGAAGGGCAGTGAGTAATAAGGTTACAAGGATAGAAGATACAACAATACCCCCTTACTGTATTCTGACCCCCCTTAAAAAATCACCCCCCTTCCCCCCACAAAGGATAGCCTTCCATGCACGTGAGATAGGATTAGTGAGCTTGAAAGAATGCAGAGAAAGAAATGTTCTTATATACGAAAACTGATGTGTTTAAAAGATGAATAAATTCACAAAACAGATACAAGTGGAAAGCCACAGAGACGAAACTCCCACGAATGATAAATTACTTTTCCTCATAACCATCATTTAGCAAGAGAGAGAGAGAGAGAGAGAGAGAGAGAGAGAGAGAGAGAGAGAGAGAGAGAGAGAGAGAGAGAGAGAGAGAGAGAGAGAGAGAGAGAGAGAGAGAGATAAGATTGACTGACTGACGTAACTTTATTCATAACTGATCTATACAAATCACAACAGTTGTAGATGAGCTGAGAATGCAACGATTACAGGCGGCACTGAGGGGTCAAGAAAAAGATGGAGACTAAAGGAGACAGGTCAAGCCAGGCAGTGATCGAAGGACTCACAAACTACGCAACAAGCACCACAACACTGGAACAACTCAAGATAATAGTGTTTGTGTTTGAAAAAAAATATTGCACTCTGATAGTACCTGATGGGAGTTCCTATAGTCACAGAGGAGTGTCACCCCCTTGTGTATGCACTCAGGAGCCTCCAGTCCTACTCTGAGTGTCTGGGTTGTGGAGCCCTCAGCTGGTCCTGCTGCAGCTGCTGCTGCTGCTGTTGCTGTCCACACCACGGTCACCCACACAACTGCTTGCCTCGTGGAAACCCGAGCTGTTGCTGCTGCAAGCACTCCTGACACCCACACAGCTGCTTGTCCTACAGGCAGCGCCTCCATCTCAGCTACTGTTGGGCGTTGAAGACAAGTTCACAGCGACGCGAGGACAAACTTACAGCACCGCAAGCATTCTCCATGTCACCAATCATTCTTTGTTTTTTTGTCAATGACCGGTGATAATTGATGGTGTGGTCCAGCATAGGTCAGAAACTGGTGAAGTTTGATGCAAAATATGTATATTGTTTACTGTTCGATAATTTTACATTTATAAGTGTTATAAGTAAAGCATAAAACTATCTTTATGGGACATATAGACCTAAGGACATAAATGTATTGCTTTAAATACCATAACAGTGTGTAAAAATCACTATACATAATATGTAATTTTTACACATGATTATAGAAATATGCCAGCATCACCCCACAAGTATCAGGGGGCAACCCTGGATCAAACTAACTATTGTTATGATACTCAAGTCTTTCTTAACAGCACTCTTTGAGAGCCATATACTCACTCGTTATAATTACATAGGACTGATAGAGAATATTTGATATAATGTTTGATATTTGGGCTAGGGGTAAGTTTAGGTTAGGTTAGGTTAGGTTAGGTTAGGCTAGGTTAGGTTAGGTTAGGTTAGGCTAGGTTAGGTTAGGTTAGGCTAGGTTAGGTTAGGCTAGGTTAGGCTGAGTTAGGTTAGGTTAGGTTAGGTTAGGTTAGGCTGAGTTAGGTTAGGCTATTTCAGTGTTCGTGCTCAGCGTTGACTTTATAAATATCCAGTTTGAAATCTTAAGAAGAAAGATATTCTAGTCATTAGATAGTTTTGACGCTCACCCGCGGCCCGGTCCTCGACCAGGCCTCCACCCCCAGGAAGCAGCCCGTGACAGCTGACTAACACCCAGGTACCTATGTTACCTAGCAGTAAAATAGGTACCTGGGTGTTAGTCAGCTGTCACGGGCTGCTTCCTGGGGGTGGAGGCCTGGTCGAGGACCGGGCCGCGGGGACACTAAAGCCCCGAAATCACCTCAAGACAACCTCAAGATAACCTATTTAGAAAACGGGATGCACAGCTATACGTACCAGTGTGAAGATGAGAGGTGCTGAGCACCTGAGCACACTTGAGCACCGGGACTACCACCACACACCACCACATCTACACACTGAGCCTCCCATGCACACGCCATCCCCCCCCCCCACCCATGCACACGCCCCCTTCACGATAAGGATAAAACAATGACGCAAAGTTAATATGATATCTGTATTTAGTTTTGTGTATATTTTAACCGTTTAGTTCCCGATGTTCTGATATACAACTGGTTATGTATTCATCTGGCGAATTTTTTCCCCCTAGTATCTTGTATGTCGTTACTACGTCTCTCCTGCTCCTTCTAAGCTGGCGTGCGGTGAAACCCGGTTCCCTCAGTCTTTCAGCATAACGCAGTACTTTAACGTACTTGGGGGGGTTGAGCTTCGGCTCTTTGGTCCCGCCTCTCAACGGTCAATCAACTGGTGTACAGATTCCTGAGCCTACTGGGCTCTATCATATCTACATTTGAAACTGTGTATGGAGTCAGCCTCCACCACATCACTGCCTAATGCATACCATTTACTAAATACTCTAACACTGAAAAAAAGTTCTTTCTAATGTTTCTGTTACTCATTCGGGTATTAAGTTTCTACCTGTGTTCCCTTGTTCGTGTTCCACCCATGTTAAATAGTTTGTTTTTTCCACCCTGCCAAATCTTATGCGAATTTTATAGGTGGTGATCATGTCTTCCCTAACTCTTTTGTCTTCCAATATTGTGAGGTTTAGTTCCAGTAGTCTTTCCTCGTAGCTCATGCCTCTCAGCTCAGGGACTATAGCCTGGTGGCATACCTCTGTACTTTTTCTACCTTCGTTTTGTAGTTGAATACTCCAATACTCCCGTATTGGAGCCGCATACTCCAATATTGGAGTATGCGGCTCCACGCTGGAGCTGCATACTCTAGTATTGATGTGTGTGTGTGTGTGTGTGTGTGTGTGTGTGTGTGTGTGTGTGTGTGTGTGTGTGTGTGTGTGTGTGTGTGTGTGTGTGTGTACTCACCTAATTGTGCTTGCGCGGGTTGAGCTCTGGCTCTTTGGTCCCGCCTCTCAACCGTCAATCAACAGGTGTACAGGTTCCTGAGCCTACTGGGCTCTATCATATCTACACTTGAAACTGTGTATGGAGTCAGCCTCCACCACATCACTTCCTAATGTATTCCATTTGTCAACCACTCTGACACTAAAAAAGTTCTGCATGAAGCGAGACCGTCGCTCTACCGTCCAGCCCAAGTGGTTGAGTATGATACAGGAACATCACGGAGAGACCCAGCACAGGAAACATACGAGTATCGTACTGGTCTTTCAGGCCCTCTCAAGAACAAATATACCTCTGTTCTCCACTCACACACTCGAGAATTCCGGGTTCGAATCCCGGGGGTGGGACAGAAATGGTTGGGTGAGTTTCCTAATCACCTAATGACTCTATTCACCTAGTAGTAAATAGCTGGTACCCAGAAGTTGGTCAGCTTAGTTGCAATCTGAGAAGGGTCAGTAATTCAATCTTAGGAAAGGGGCAAGAAAGACCTCGATATTAGTCTAACATGTATAAATACACTGGCTTCCTGTCCCCCTGACACAATCAATTATTAATTATTATAAATTGCAATAATTATTATATTGTGAATTAATTATTATAAATTGAAAGAAAACTGGAGAAAACCTCTACTATAGAAAACGAATATTCATTGCATGTAAAACTATATTAAATTAAATGCAGAGCAACCACATTTTTGTTAAAAAGTGGAAAGGTGATTCATTTGCGTTTAATAGATTAGCGATTATCAATCTCAGTGCTATCGTTAGGGAAAACAAATATATAGTAGATTTAGAACTCTTTGTAGCGAGTAAACCTTATACAATCTCTTATAGTAAACCGCTCCAATCTCTTATTACCTTGACAAAAGAACAACAAATAGTCAACAGTGCAATTTCCATAGTGATTCAGTTAACTTCGGTACAAACGCTCGGGAGTTACCACACCTCTTTAACCTCAAGAATGTAGCACTCGGCGCATGCAGTTCTAATCGACCCTTAGCTAAATGAATTGTGGGGTTCAACTCCTGAGCCCATTATGTGCCTCTGTAACCCTTTCCACTACCGCCCACAAGATGGGTATGGGGTGCATAATAAATGAACTAAACTAAACTTCGACACAGAGCAGACAGCACACTACAAGTGCTCTCGTTCCCCATCGAGTTTAGACACTCACGATTCCCCATCGAGCCGCCACGCTCTCCCACATAGAGCTCCGCGACTCCGGCCTCACTCAGCTCTCTGCTCTGCTCCAAGCTCCGTCTGAACGTCTAAGACAATGCCACCAACCGACTACTGTAATCAAGACTACTAAATAAATATGAAACTCACTAAACAATGTGTATCTAATCTACCCAACAACGTAACATAATCTTACGTTACATCTTCATCAATTCTCACCCCCACCCCAATGCTTATAAAATATTAAATTAATAATAATAATGATAATAATAATAATAACAATATTAATAATAATTTATGCAGGAATATGCATAAAAATGAGTTACAAACATAATGTAGGATTTCTAGATAGAGCCGGTACACACTATGCCTAAAGCCACTAGCACTGAGCACTAGATAAAGCTAGTGCAAGGGCTATCGTGGTTCGTTAGAGTGTATATAGAGATTGCAATAGTTTCTGCATCGTGATAAGAGAGAGAGAGATTAGAGCGATTACTCTCGTAGCAATGATTATATTTCAAAAGGTCATTTTTTGAGCGCTTTTGGGTGAAATATGTCATTCGCTTACACATGTACTATCGAGTAAGCGTCGTTGCATTAGTCAAAGTTTTCATGAATTCATGTGTGTTCATTAATTATACATGATTGGTTTTGAATAATTCTTGTATTATATATGTCATCATATCTACCTATATGGTGATAATTAACCTAATTAGACGTATTGAGAAGAATCTTAAATTACTGCTTATTATTCACTAGAGATTATATTACATTATTTTATACATTTAGGATTACTGATTAGGGGGTAATGCATATTATTCATTTATCTCGTGTGGTACAATAGCTGCAGCGCGATAAGTTCGTTGCTAGATATCATTATAATTAATTATAAGCTAACCAGATATATTGCAGAATCTTTAGAAGATATCCGATGAGGTCTGATTAAGGTGAGTAAGCTATCGCTCACAGGATGAGTATGGGGTGCACAATACACTACCACTCACAGGATGAGTATGGGGTGCACGATACACTACCGCTCACAGGATGAGTATGGGGTGCACAATACACTACCACTCACAGGATGAGTATGGGGTGCACGATACACTACCGCTCACAGGATGAGTATGGGGTGCACAATACACTACCACTCACAGGATGAGTATGGGGTGCACGATACACTACCGCTCACAGGATGAGTATGGGGTGCACAATAAACCAGCAACCACTGGCGACCAAAAAAAAGTGGACCTCTCTGATTGGCTGTTGCTCACTGCTAGTGGTAGTTGAGTGGGCACGTACGTCAGACACGGCCACGTCCACCCCGTGTCCAAGAGTTATTTAATAGTTAATTATAAATCCACATGAGCCAAGTCAACACGCAGTTTATTCTGGACAGTAATGTTAAGCCGGTTTAATACTAAGTGGTAACAGGGGATACACACACACACACACACACACACAC